GTCGTGTTTTTTTTTGCGTTTTGATTTGATCGTTTTTCGGTAACTTATGCTAACGATTACGAATGTGTTGAATGAATGAATGGATTGTGAAAGTCAGTACTGCTTACTGTAGTCAACTGTATGCAATGACACATATTGGATAGGTCCTCCAAACACTCCCTCTACGTCATTTTTTGGCCTTATTCTCGTCAAGCTCATTTTCAACGACTTTTTTGAAGCCTTTTATCTCGTTGATATCACCTATTCTCGTGTCTTTTTCGCCACTTCGCCTTTTTCGCCGTTCTCCACCTCTTTCATTTCTCGTAATAATTTTGATAACTCCCAATTTATCGCAAACTGTGCCTTCAATTTCCGGGTCACTCATTATTTCAAAAGCGACTTTTTAATTTGAGAGTGAGTGAAATGTTTGAGCTATAGGTGGTTGCCATAGCGTGGACAAAGTACGAGAATTTGAAAACATTCAACAGTTTTTTCCGGGCAGCATGTCATACATTACAACGTCGACCATGATCGAAATTTAAGGTGAGCCTTTAGAGGTACTGTAGAATCGTAGAGAACCAATTCAATAATAAATCATTTATGCGAAACCGGTTCCATACCTACTTATTAGGCACCTGCGCCCTTTCTCTCAAGGGGCTATGACAAGAATCGAACTCCTCGGACTTCTTTTGACTTTCAAAATGAAACGATTTTAGCGGTCACCTTTGGTCTTAACTTCGTCTTGCAAGCGACAAATTGTCCACAGAGCCAATTCTCACAATGAGCAGTTTTTTGTTTTGACGTCAGTTCCTCTTCGTCGATACTGTTGCAAATTGAAGTCATGAAAGTTTTGATAGAGGAAGCCGAATTAGGTCGATGAACATTACAGCAACTTTCGGTGACCAAAGCGAAACTGACGATAACAAAAATATCATTGAAGGACACACCTCCGAGTTGCGAAAAAAGGGTAATTTTCTGATAGAAATTTCGGACTGAACTTCAAGATTCTCAATATTGTGTCCATCATAAGAATCCCTTGAGAAGAAATGGAGCCCTGAGGGCTTATTTTAACACGTTGACGACAAGAGCGTTTTTCGTTTGCGCGCCCATGGAACGAGACCGTTGGAAGGCGCTGGCTAATCGTCGGTTACCATTGGCGGAATTCTATTTGTGTAAAACAAGTAAAAACTCCTGGAAACGAAAGAATAACTTGTATTCTGTCAAGATTTGGGTGAAATCTCCAAAATCATGGGCTTTGTAGACCATCTCGCTGTATGAGGCTTTGAATCGTGAACATTCATAGAAAGCACTATTCAAACGTTCGGCGGGAACAAGATTAGAGGTAAGGCGTCAATTGTTGGAAGGAGTTCAGATTTTAATTGTTATCTGATATGATGTACGACTCCTGACTCGATACATAATATTTCCATAAAAACCTTAGATTTAGATGGATCATGTTTCGACGCTAAAGTTAGTGAGTAAATAAGTAAATGTAAAATCTGAAACAAAAAAAACCTGAGAATTTCTTCATTTGGCTGACTTACAGTACTGTCGGTTACCAGTGACCGACATCGTCCCACGAGACAGACTGACTGTCGGTCAACATTGACCGACATTGTCGTTAACGTGTTATTATAGCAAGGTCTTCTTCCGGGAATTGTCAGAAGCCTAACTGGTTGTATTCGTTTCTGTTCAATAGTTTCAAGAAACTTCTCCGAAAAATTTGTGTGCAGGTCTTGGTGCTTTTCCTGGAGGTCCACCTGGCCGACTGCCGAAAGCAATGCTGCGTGATAAATTCGAGATATTCCAATCCCAGTAGTTGAAAAGCGTTGATGGAGAATAGCAAGCGCATCGGTGGCGGAAAAACAGTAAAACACGCGAACTTCGGAAAGTAGGCTTCCTCAAGGTAGTGAAAACAGAGATCGTCAAGGCGGATGTGTCATAAAAGGTGTATTTGGACGAGATTCCCGTTGTTGGAATTACGGAAATATCAGGGTGTCCCAAAAGTTTTGAGAAAATTTTGGTCATGATTTCCGCAACCATGTTGCGCAAGAAAGCGCCGAAGCAGAGCCATGGAAAAAAGGGCAGGAAAACGGGCACTCTAAGTAGATCGTCAAAACAATAGAACGGTATGGCACTTTATCTTTGGAATTGAGCTAACAAAATCTGGATTATGCCCAACCAACACGACTACCGGCGCCTTCTGCTTCATTACTACCGATTCTCTCTCTACTTCTCTAGAGAGAGATTCACTTCGACGAAGAGCGGACGTCCACGTTCCACCAAGACCGACATTGTATTAGCCTTAGTCCGAGGCAATCCTTCTCAAAGATTGAGAGCAATGGATAGGGAGACTTCTGCTCCTCGTTCCACCATCCACGTCATCCTACGCAGACGTCGCTTTCGTGCAGCACTTCCTGCAGTTATCCCGCACACCTCGACTGAGAGCGAACGTCAGGTGCGGGTCGATGTGTGAGGGAGGCTACTCGACCGCAAGCGAACGGTGGCTTCATCATTACTCAGGATGGGAAAAGGATTTCATATGAAAATCCACACAGGAGTTGCAGTGGCTACCAATCGACATAAGGCCAGAAGCCGTTGCAAAGCGTGGGGCACACGTCAAAAAGGAGATGATATCGTTCTTCTTCTGCTCTTGCTGTTTTACTATGAAATCCTACCTGGGGGTGTTGCTGTGACTGCAAGGGTATTCTGCGAACAGCTGTGGGAGACGATGTCTCGAGCCCCGGTTTCACACCGAATGCAGGGAAAGTTTCTGATTTTGATGGACAACGCTCGACCACATCATGCTAGGGCGACGACTGAGGAGCTGGGAAGGCTTGGGATCACCTGGCTACCCCATCCTTCGTATTCACCTGACCTTAGCCCTTGCAACTACCACGCCTCCAGAAGTCTACAAGCTTACCTCAAAGGGAAAAAAATTCATAACTGTCAAGAGTTCAAAAGTGAATGAATCGCTTCACGCCCTTATTCTTTCTGGATGAATGTCATCAGTGCTCTGCCCAGTCGATGGAGGGACGTCGTGGCTAAAGAGGTCTCGATCTAACTATCACTATCTCGATTACTGATCTCACCTTTTTGTTGTAGTGTTTTGTGTTGAATAAACCAAACAAATTTCCTCAAAACTTTTGGGACACCCTAATAGTTGGACTACACCGAACAAAAAGTTGTTCGAAACTGTTTTCCAACGTCTTCATCACACGTCACATGACTAGTTTGGTTTTCCAATAAGGGTGTCCTATGTAAATGATGTTCCTAGATCTCCCAAGGATAGCACAAATGACGCTGTCGTGTCTACGAAAGCCTAGATAGGGCTTGCCTGTGTCTCTAAAACGCCGCTAAAACTCGTCTGCTTTGGCAATGGCAAACTGTTAGAACAATCTTTGAGCCCATTCACCCCTTACCTAGGCCTTTTTAGACTCGAGAGCGTAATTTGCGCTATCGTTGGAGAGTTCCAGGAAGAAACATCAGGAACCGTTTTTATTGTGAATAGTGCCTTTAAGACTGGCAATGAGCTAATTGCGTTACTAGTCTGTTTGGGTTCATATTATTATATATTCTTCAATGAAAACAATAGAGAATGAGTTATTTCAAAGAGTGTGGGCAAACTCACATTACTCGAGATGAATCTTTCCATATGGGCTTGATCGAAGGAAAAATTTCAACATAAATGCAATTAGGCGAGTGTAGACGTGGCCGACAATATTCAAGATCATTCACAAATTACATATTGCTTCACTAGTCTCCCTATTAACCATCAAAATGTCACTTCCAAGTAACAGGGGAGAGGGGGACGAGCAGTGGGATGGTTGGGAGAATAGGCTTGAATGTCATTGGCACATTTTCTTAGTATCTGTGAGTTGGCCAGCATAAAAGGACCATCTACAGACTTGAATAAAGCGATAGATTTCAAAAATTCCAAAATTCAAAAAATAAACTATTCATAATGGTGAATGAGTGAGTGCTTAGTTGAAAAGTTACCGCCCTCGGAAACCTCACAGTAAATAATCCTTGGGCCAAATTTATTCCTACCGAAACCTATATACAAGGCACTTCTCTGTTCCATGGAATGGCTTACATTTAATTGCCATGAGTACACATCACTTGTGCAATAAATATGAAGCAGGTCGAAGCTCTTCCTGCATTAGTCCACAAAAAAACAAACTCCGAAATCTGATTGCAGGAAAAGCGAAAGTAAGCATCCCAGTTCAACTTTTGAAGAAACGGTTTCACAAAGAGCCAATCTACAGGGAAGATGATTGATTTTGCAAAACTCCAGGTGTCACCACGATGACACCCAGAAAAGACAGTTTTCAAGCTATATTACATCTTATCCACCTTCGTAGCTGCAAGTTTCTCTTTTTGAGCGAACTTTTTTTCCCAAAGCAGTTCGACAAGAGTTTCACGCTCACTGTTGGTATTACGACAGTCAACATGTGCAAAAGTCAAGTGCAGCAAACATACGAAGCGATCTGGCCAGCTCTGGGGTGCAGAGGCCACGGTGGTCAAAGGTTGCTCCGAAAGCATGAGAATGGGAAGGAAGAAATGGGTAAATGCGCACTCTGGAGGATTTTGGAGGAAACTGAAGGGCACGGTATGGAAGAAATGAACAATGCTCTGCTGTGTGTGTGTGTGACCTGTCGTAAACCTAAACGGAATGTCATTCTCTTTCAGACAAGTTCAAAAGAGACATAAGATTCATAGTCTCTAACATTTCTATGATACATGTACTATGGCAACTGAAAAAGCAAGTGGTGGAATGTGTTCGGCAAAGGAAACCGTCGACGGACAGGTTATACGACTGACGATAGCTCACGTACAAAAACATTATCGAACAAATGAAATTCAGATCATTTCAGACTTGGAGATCTCCATAAGCTGATGCCGACCATCCGTCTTCTTCTCGGAAGGATGGACAGGGCAACAGCTCTAAGCTGTGCGACTGACCATGCATGTTCGGCGGCTTGAACGGCTTTTTGAGCCGTCCTTCATTTCACTGGGTTCTAATAAACCGGTGACTTGACAAAGAGTCGTGGAGTTGAAAGGAATATCAAAGAAGTGGTGGCGATGATGAGCACAGTAAAAAGGAACAGCGATAGTCGATCAATCACCATCGCCATGAACTTCCAATCATCCTGCAAATCAGAATCGCGATCTTCCTCGTCTAGTCGATCCTTAACATAAGGTTGACGTCGATTGTTTTCAGAATGAGCTGTTCATGGTGATACCTTGAAAGCATTCAGTAAGACGATAATTTCTCGAATACCCATCTCAATTGAGTCGTCCACAGCGAAACTTTCCGAACTTCGAATAAGGTGAGGCCGTAGGGCTGAAAAAGCGGTTAATCTTTGACAGTTGCACTGGCAAAACTGAGTGGTAATAATTCTTCTAAGGAATATTGTGGCTTGAAAAAAACAACAGTGACAAAAAATAACTGAGAAAGAACTTGAGGTGTAGGAGCAGTACACAAAAAAAGGAAAATTAAGTTAAGTAAGGTCGCCATCACATCTGAGGCCTCATCGGAAAGGGGCGTAAATCGACCAGACCTTCCATTCTTTTATTCAGTGTAGAGTAAGGAAAGAAGAATCGTAGCTAATTTCTGAGGAATTTGATCTCATTCGTGATGGTGAAATAGAGCTTGTACAGTCGGATCAAAGTTTTCTTGAAGGGGGGGGGGGGGGGGGGGGCCTGGCGCGCCGGCTCATGTTGGTAGAATGTAAGATTTTCGATTAGCTCAAGCGTTAGGGACCTCAAATATCTCACTACAAATCGAATCCGTTCATTACGCCTGAATTCTCAAAATGTCAGATGAGAGAGATGAATTAAAAGTCATGGGTGCCTTACTTCCTGAAACAGGTATATCCCCGCAGTCGGATAGGCGGGTGTCAAAGCGCTGGAAGTCACTACTCGTAGGCTTTCGAAAAGGGTCTTCCAAGTTTTTTTCTAAAGATCTTGAAGGTATCTATGGAATTTTTATATAGGGACGCCATGACATAGTTGGTTCTTTTTTCCTCAATTATTAGAGCCTACATATAGGGCTGAAATCTTCTTCTTCTTCTCCCTAGCGTTAAACACGCTGCCGCAAGATCCACTGTTATTATTAACCGGCTTCCATTCACGTTTCGATGAGAGCTTTCTTGATCACGTCCGGCCACTTCTTCTTTGGAACCGCTTGTTCTCAGCTTCAAACTACAGCGCCCTTCTGATCGGGTGCTTCAACCGCCTTCTCAGTACATCCCATACCATTTTAGGGCGCTGTTCTCCAATCTTCAGCTATACAAGAGCGTGCTGACGTCCCCGCTTCATCGGGTCAACGGCAGGCCCACCTCAATAACCTCACTTCTTGTGTATGAGGTTGCGTTTCACGCTTTTTGTCTACGGACCAGCATTCGCTGCCATAAAGCATAACTAGCCTCACCATTACTCTATATAACTTTCCCTTCAGAATTCTGGAGCCCGCTGGTCTAGTGGATTTCAGTAGGTTCCCTTCATTTCACCCATTCCACTACTGATCCGAGCCTTTACAGCCTGGTCCATGGTCCAGAATTCCGTGAGCAGATAGGTTGCTCGTCATGTATCAGAATTCCTGCACTCTTTTGATGGATCCCAGAGACAACCAACGATTGGTTCTACATAGTCCTCCGAGCTGAGGAACTTGGTCTTTTCCACGTTCAGCCGCGATACATTGTCCGTCAGAGTTTTTTGTCGTTTCCGCAGATCGTCCTGCACTCTTACTAACTCTCAGGTATCAAAGCGATGTCATCAGAATAGAAGAGGTCCACAGTGGTCCAACCAAGAGTTCTTTCATGATGATATCTAATGTCAGTAGGAAGAGAAACGGGTTTGATCCTTGATTTACCCAACTCTGGCGTCCACGGCTTAACGATTCTTCGGACTTCGTTGTTCTAGAATCACGCTACCTGGTCTCCTCTATGCTCCCAACACGTCTCACCCAACATTTCTTTTGCATACTGCAGGTAACTTTAACTGCGTTGTTGCATGTTTACTGGACCGATTCTTGAGGGTCCGGAAGGCTAACTTCCAGAGCCCTTCGCTTGAGGTTGACATTTGCTGCTTGGTGCAGCTTTACTACCGGATTCTCCGCTTCGTTCATAATCTTGCTCTCTTGAAAAGCTCGATGGATATGTTCACTAGGCAAGGAAGAGGCCTGTGCTGAGTGGCCATTTTCACCAGGCAGAAGCTTGATGTTGTTCACAATTTTGAGGGACGATTTTTTCACGAGCACATGATGCATTTCCATTACTTTCCCTCCACTGCTGTAGTTCCCCTTCTGTGATCGGAATGGGCACCGCTGGCGTGCCCATTCCGATCACACGCTATGATGAGAAAGCTCCCTTTAAAACTGATCCAACGGTATTTTCAAGGCTCAACAGAATTCGTCTTTTTCGTGCTCGGACAGCCGGCTTGAGGCGCGTATACCGACATTATTACCCCTCTATCGTTACCGCTCTTTTGTTCCCATAGTATTTCCAGTAACATCCTAACGTTAAGGAAGACTCGACTGACTTATTTCTTTAACTGCTCGTGCAACTGTCAATGGTTCGAGCGATTGCAAAGTAAAACATTTTACTAACACCATTTCATACTTTTTCTTTACACTGAATTGTATTTCTTTGAAAAACCGACCTTTGGCTTTCTCCATACCAGGGACTTCTCCATTTAGAAGTCGAGTATTTTTTTCATCGTCTATCAACACCACATGCTTTCTGGCTGTTTTTCGGAATGACTGAAAAGTCAAGAAGATTAGAACATTTGCATTTTCGGTTGCACAGAAGGTCTAGAAAACTTGATTTAGTTCTATAATCTTATTGATAAACAAGTATAGCATTTTAGAGAAAAATATCACTGGATTTGAATATCTTCAAACTTGTTTTCGTCGTCTTTAATGTGTATTCTCGAAGCTCCTAAAACTTCACTTTTTTCGGTTAGCTTTCGACATATAAAGCCTTCGGGGGTGGTGCAGTAGGAACGAAATTGTCGCGTCGCGGTGAGAGGGACGTCGCGCGCGAAGGAATGTAGCGGGATGCAGCAGTAGGTAAGAAATACAAGAACAAAAGTACTGATAGTAGAATTATGCATAAAATAATGATCGCATATCGATTGAGCTGTATGAAGAACGCTAGAGCTGTAATAAAGGCGAATGAGTGGTCCGCGACAGCCGCGTGCGGCGAATCGGTCACCTAAAATCGTTCCTAATGCCCGTCTCCCGAAGCCTTCTTTGGACTCAAGTTTACGACACATAATTTCAAAAAATCAGTCAATAATCAACTTCCACAGCGCACACATCGAACCAACGAGACGTTTGAGGGGGAGAGAATGGAAATTATGGGCGGGGAGCTTGAAAAACAAATGGGCACCGCTCCTGTCTTGAAGCAACAATGTTATCATTCACTAAGGCTCAGGACGTCACGCATCCTTCTTTGCGCTGATTTCCGACTTGATGCGGTTATTTCCAGTGCTTCCATGGTTCTCCTTCCCAAGGGCCGAACGAAATGCCCATAAAAACCTAAAACCCTTTTATCGAGGATGGAGCGTTTTCTTTATCATGTTTGAATGTACGATGCCTCGAAAGACTGCTGGGATCAGGCGAAGGGATTAACTAACGTTCTTCTGGTTTCGTCTAGGTGAGTCTTCAAAGATCCTGCGATCTCTCCCACGTACTTTTCTCCACATCCTCCACAATGAATCAAAGACGCGGTGCCCTAAAGCCCGCAGATCATTTCAGATGCACTGTAGCGACAGGACTGTTCACATCATCATTCTTCGTAGATTTGTAAAGACAACAGATTCTTCAGTGCATGGGGTGGTCGAAAACCAAGTCGAATGATAAGCTGAGAGTTTGTCACGGCGCGCTTCACCTCGCGTGCCATTTTGTCATTAACAAATTTTGGCGTATTGAGACTCTAACGGTAAACCGTTCTGTGTACCGGACCCAAGTCATACTGCCTTCAAAATCCCCGCTACTATCGAGAATACTCTCAGCTTTACCATCAACAGCTGAATCCCCTATATACCAAGCTTCCTCTTCCTTTTCAAAAGGCGTTCGCTTTCATATAAATAGAATTTGCGCTTCTAGAATGCAACAAGATGGTCGACAAAGCACTTTTTTTGATAACTCCGTAGGGAATGGTACAAATCCATCCCTGGATGACGAGAACCGATTGAAAATAGCAGTGGATGCCTCATCCCAAAAGTTAGTTAACAACTTTCGGCTTTCTAGTCGTTCACGCCCTTTGAACTTTCTTTGTGGATTTGAATGAGTAAAAGTTTTGATCTGATTTGAATGAATAAAAGTTTTGTTGCAATCTCTGTCCTACAGCCCAAAAGACAACCTCAAGCAGTGGATGCACTTTCCCAGAGCTGCTTGCAAAGTAAGAGCACTTATTGAAAGCTTCGGCATGGGAAAACCGATTTGCTCCATGACGACCCGTGAGAACTTGGTGGAAAAGTTCTGACACCAAACTCCATCGCTACCATTTATTTCAAGCGGTAACAAAGTAGTTCCAAAACAATGTATTCCATAGCCTAGCCTAGGCCAACCCGCATCCTGAGCTGCTGCAATTTCCTATCTTGTACGCTATTAGAACGGGGGATGAGGTACAGTCAAACTGTTTATGTCACAGTTCAAGCTTATTGCCCTCTCAGGAGAATGTCTCAAAAATCATGAATCCTAAAGCAAGCATCAATCTTTCGTTTCTGAGGAAGTCGTTATCGGAGGAGGGAGGGGAGAAAGGGAGCAATAATAATCGAACCGGCGCGGCTTAACCGTGCAGGATGCTCTAGTTGCTGATAATCGATGAAGAGAAATAGATTAGTAACCCAATCAGGAGTAGATAATGGACGCAGATTTTTATGGAGAGACCAGAAAGAGACCTCAACACCCGTATTTCGTTGGCTGAGTGCTGTGAAATATGCACTATATGTAAAGGTAAATCGGCTGAAAGCAAGCCTCTGGTAAATCCTTCTGATCAACGAAGGCGACAGCGCCCACGATTGTCCTTTTATTATCTTTCTTGGGCACTACCCATGTAAACACAACCTTACATGGTGGATATTGCTGCTTGTAGAACAATAGCCTGAGTGGGGGAGTGTCGGCTTCCCAGAATCAACACAAGTGCAGAGGATTATGAAGGGCTGACGGAAGTGGTGTGGTGTCAAGTGGCGCCACTTGACTCATGATCCAAAGATCGAATCTTGTATCACTAAGATTCAGAACAACTCCCTCCCTTCCACTCCCCCAAGATCGATCATTCCATATTTGTCGGGAAGGATAAAAACACTAACTCATACATCGCCTGTAATTGTCAGACATTCTCTTCGCCTTTACTCTTTATTCCTCGAGAAGTAAAAGATGATGCAGTCCCTCTCCTAATTTTTTTAGCTAGACATAAGAAATTTGCTCAAAAAGGAGTATGCTCGGTAAAGAAGCGTATATGGTTCCCACTGACCTCGTCTCCATTGTCGGATGAACACTTTTGCGTCCGTAGTTTGAACTTCTTTCCAGGTCGTGACATCAGGAGAAACCATGGTAGCCATTCCAGAAATATCAGTTGTATCTAGAAGTAGACTTATCTCTAAACATCTATAAAGTGCTGTGCAGAAGCGATTGGGCTTGGTTGCAACTCAGTGTTGTTGCAGGGAGGGTATCGAAATGGACAGGTGGTAATAATGGGTGCCTTCCAAGCGCTATGACTTTCAGAAACTCCTACATTGCCCAAACAGGGCAGCGTTAGGCGACAAAGACGTGCCTAAGCCAACCAAGACTTCCATCCATCCGGAGTCCGTTTAATTGGTACCAGACTTTCTGGGAGGACAAAAGCACTGACATGTACATCGGCTGGACACCGCAAGTCATTGTAGGCCACATACGCACTCATTACGCCACTACGATTCTGAATGGAAGTCAAGTGCAGGGGTGTGTTTCTCAGACGGGATTTGATCAACGCCAAAAACTTTAGCCTTTTTTATGGCTAAGAACTCTGTCGTTAGAATGAAGGAGCCTTTCTTCGGTTGCCCCCTATTTCCTGACTTTCCCTAGTATAATCGTTCTCGATTCATGAAATTCTTCCATGGGAAGGTTCATGAATCCACGTAGTACTTGAGAATCTTACCCATTTTCCCATTCGATGAGTTCGTGGAGATCGGAAGTGCACATTGATGATGACCAACGTCGCTATGATCGAACATCCCAACAAAAGCATCGAAAGTGAAAAGAACACAGCTGAAAATAAGAAACTGGCCCCTGTCAAATGCTATCAAGGATAAGTATAATATATGACGAAAATACCAATTATGGGGATCGATTCTGACGTAGGCGGGGTGATCTCCGAGACCATTCCCAGGAACACAGTCACAGACAGGAGATTGGTGATTTCTGACATGACCAAAGGTTACCTAGTAACAAAATCTGAAAGCCGCACTTCCACTCAAAATACTTACGAAGGGTGATCTTCTCCCCACACTCCGGTGGCATAGTGAAGCCAAGAACGTTACTGATTGAGATTAGAATAGATGGTATGATCCAGTTCAGGCCATAGTAAAGGGTTTTTCTCTTCAGATGCACTCTGAAGTACAGCTCCACGTATCGCTCCCCTTTGAACTCGGAAGCGATTCGATCTGCCGGTGTTGCTGCAATAATTAAAAGACGTTTTCAAAATAAAATAACATGCTGAGTAGGGAGGTTCAGGCACATATTATGCATTACCCACAGTGTTCTAGTGGTTAGGAGCAAGTGCCATGAAAAGAGAAGCGGTTTTCCATGAGAGGCGCAGGTCTAACTTCGACAAATTATCACGGGGGATAGGTAGTGATAAGAAGTGGTAAAAATAGTTTATAATGGAAATAAGGGGTCATGAGAGCCAAAAGCAAGTGGCAAAATGTGATGCCCTAAAGGTTCATTTTGCGATTGCTGCTTGGAACCCTTCTCTTTTCTGTAAAACAAAGTGAAACGTCCTGACCCGGTAGACGCTGCTCCAGTTTGGCGGCATAAAGATGAATGGAGACTGTGGTAGGGATTACTTCTTACCACACAGCCCTTATTGGGGTTGTACGCTTTTGCGGCTATTATGTAGCAAACTTTCACCCTGTTATGATGTGACCAAGCAAATCTGAAGCTTCACCACGGATTGTCACTCTACGATGTAATTTAGTGATACTTCCTGATCATGATATCAGCCAAGGAGGGCTTCCTTAAAACTCGCCTCTTCTGCGATGTTTTCATGGGAGGATAAAACGCTAAAGAGATGGTCTTATTTTGTTGATGTCCACACCGTCCTCTTCTTCACTGTACTGAGTAAGGTATTAGGTTGGCAAATAAGTCCTGCGACAAAATGGAGACCCTTTTTTAATCATTTCTAATTTTTTTCGTACCAGTCAACTTCAGGAAAAAATTTGACCGAAGAAGTCGACAACATCCTTTTATCCTTAGAGCCAATCACTGATACCACCTCTTCAGAAGTGAGGGAGTTGTGACTCAAAGAAGTAATTGACTGCCATTTTTGGATCACATTGAGTTACGAATTTTTTTTTCCACAACGGGATGCTCAAAAAGGCGGAGCACATGGTTGGTAAAAGGGGGATCACTTAGGGAGTACGACTGATGAACAACCTGGAACCAGTTCGAATCGTAGAACTTTTGACGTGGGTTTAAAGCGAACTTTCGACGTGCGTTGTCCCTCTGTAGGGGCCTGATTTATGGTTTGATCGCCCTTCTCTAACCCCGTTGGCCAA